ATAGACTTTCAGTTTCTTTTCTTCAGTTAATGACCAGGATGTAGTACAGCAGTCTATATGGGAAACTATTATGGAACACATTGGAACAATCTAGCTTCATAGTTTTTTTGTGAACATTACATATGTTTACCAGAGCTGCTATGAGGACAAATTATTCCACCTCAGATGTTTTAGCAGGAATAAAAACTACAGCATCATCTGCATACATTTTGACTAACATTTGGCAGGTCATTGATGGAGTCTCCCATACTCTGAGCACATCACACACAGGAGGATAATCTCGTAAGATAATTTCAACAGCCATTACGAGAAACTAAGTTTCTTGTCGGAGAAAGATTAGGGCAAAAATCCGCCTGATTACCTCGATGTGCAAACCAGGCATTCATTGATACAGAAGCAGCCTAAATGCCAATAGTAGCTGTGGAGGAGTTGTAGGAATATGACCTTTTTGTAAAAGTGAGATGCCACTGCTGTAATAATCAAAAAGGCCCTGCTTAAACTTATCATTTTGCAAGGAAAGAAAGAAATTCCAAAAAAGTTAATAACAAACCACTGGATTTTGTTTTCCAAGTTTGAAGATAATTTGCTTTCCATTCAGAAAGCTTTCTCAATTCAAAATGTCTGGATTACTGTAGAGCTCCAGGCTTTATAGAGGCCCAACAAAAGCCTTGTTATGGCTTAGAAAACATGCAAATTGAACCGGAAAACGAAGATGTTTCCTATAATCTGCAAATTTCCTAAGCAATTTCTCATACTGACGCACTACTCCAAGGGTGTCCTTCCCAAAATAGCGTGCAATATGCTGGCGAAGAAACTGCAGGAAGCAGCTGCTCTAATCAAATAAGACCTAAAGAGATTTTTTTAGCCTTTTGTATTCCCTGAAAATTTCATGTCATCTTGAACACACCATTTATATTACGGTATATTGTTGAGTCTAAGCTGTTTTCCAAAGAAAATTTGGGTTTAATGACTAGACATGCAAAGCTGATAGTGATAATCTTCAACTGCAGCTTTAAGTACAGCAAAAGATGACACCATAAAGAACTAACTCAAAGAGACTAAATAGAAATGCATGTTCCACCTCTTAAATTATACATGGTAAAATATGTTGAAAACCTTGGACATTTTTTAATATTTCTGTATCCTCCAGTGTTCTCAGAATATTTCTTTGACTACAGCTGTAACCCCTTTTATTATTCGTTTTGCACACCAAAGAAAACATCTTCTGTAGAGCCTTAAAATTGGTTCAATCAAACTTGATTTTAAAAAGAATTTATGTTCTACAGATGTCTTAAACCTCTCCTGGAGAGTCGTAATCCCAAGAAAAGAAAATTCCCATTTAACATGCAGATGTTTTAGACTGTACTCAGAATGTCCGCAAAGTATTTTGTAGCCTTTAAAATATTTGTAGTTATCTGAGGGATAAACAGGGAGGATGTAGTCTTTGTTTTTTACAGATGTGTATTTTAACATGATCTGATTTTTAATGCTGTCCAACACTTCATTCACCCTTATACATTACAAAATGTCACTCTCCAAAAGCAGATGCTGTAAACAAACAGTGTTTTACCGGCATTCTCTGCAAAAATCAAAAATGCTGCTATGGCATTCTACACCAGCAGGAATGAGCTATTCTCCCTCTCTCAAAATTGCTCCCAAATGAGCACATCTGCACGTCGGACTGAGTGATTGAGTGCTGTTTAACAGGCCTGACCTGAAAACCACATGATGAACATTACAGGGAAGAGGCATCACCTGCTGGAAGTGATATCTTAGCTTCAGTAGTGTACAGGAGTGTGTATATGGGCATGCACCTGCACATGTTTGCATGAGAATTGCTCTCTTGAAATCTCCATACTGAACTCCCATCAAAATCAGGTCTTTTTGATTTCCCATTTATGTTATTGTAAACTCAGCTTGTGTAAGAAACGCACCGACAGGTTATGGTGAATACGTACTTTCAGGAATAGATTGCTGTGGCAACAAATACAAGTGGTACCTTTTGCAAGCAGAGAAAGCAAGAGTGCAAAGGAATGCAGAAGATCTTTGCAGAAGGCCTTAACCCAGGTTTTCGCCCTACAGTGTGCTTTTTGGACCCAAGATGATTTGCATGGCTCGAACATGTGATGCATGTTGTAAAGGACGCACGTCAACATTGTCCTCACACTTTAGCAGGTTTTGTTTTTACAAAAAGAAAACAAAACAAAAAAACTGAAAACTTGGTTCTTTATCAACACTTTGATACTTTACTATTAAAGAGTGCAATAAATGTGATCAGCTAAGTTTGTTATCTTTTAAAACATCCACTAATTAGTTAAACCTGAATTCATTTTTCGATTCATCTATGTATGTTTTCAGTTAAATCAAGCATTAGTTTACTTCTGATTATGTTAGATGAAGATTGTTTGAGTCTCGAGACAAATATATAAAATCAAGTCTGAATTTTAAACTAAATTCAAGTCAGAAAGAACGTGATTTCGTAACATAAGTGTAAATCAAATTTGAGACTTAGACCACTTTTTTCTATTGCAGTCAGCATATTGTTTGCATGAAAAAAGACTATTAAATAAGACGTTTAAAAGAATGTAACAAAGTGTGCAAGATCCCTAACAAGTATCTCTATTTAGAAACAGATTGAGACAAAGTAGAATCATTATTTACTCAATATGGATGGTCAAACCTTTCACAGTTCCATGATAATACAGCTAATTACTTTGCCTTACTACCTAAAGATAAGGAGAGTCCATCATCTGTTAGTAATTTCAACTACAGTGCTTAAAGGGTGCCGATTGGAGGGGGAAGGTAGAGAGATTTCTCATGATGCACTGATAATCCATTTATAATCACACTGTAATGCCCAAGAGTTCCATCCCCACATGAGAATGTCACTATTCATCATCATCCATAAATTCTCAATGTTCTCATGCCCTCTAACACCTCGGGTTATGAAAGGAGCTATGATGAATATGTATGCCATACGCACCAGCAGGCCTTATAACCTCTCATGCCTGGGAAATACTTAAAGGAAGTAGAGGAAGAGGAAAGCAAGGAAACCAAAAAATAAATAACCCCTTTGTGTCGTGGCTGGATAAACAGTCCAGCACATTAAAGATTGTAAGAGTGGCTAAACTGATAAGACACTTCCTACACACAGACTGGAAGTGTGTATGCCTAAGAAAAGAGTGAGAAATTATAAAGTAAAAGAGAGAAACAGAGATGGGGTAAAAGAGAAAGCAAGAAAGCCATAAGAAAACCTGGAACTGAACCATAGTCAAAACAAGAGAAACCTACCTCATACTTTTTTTTTTATAATACATTTTCTTGTTTAGATATGAAACATTGGCTGTCTCCCCCTGTTTAATACAACTGTCCAAACCCAAGGCAGCCAAGTCAGCATGATAATTTCAATATCCAAACACTGATTGCTATCTTTTATAAATACTGGTACAATTCTGAGAACAGTCTACATTTGTCTTCACTCGGGGGAACGTGACAAAAGCTCACAATAGGATTGCCTAATTCAAATAAAATCCCACAAAAACAGTAATCTAAGCTCACCCAGAGCAGGATATCTAATGCTCAAAAAATTACTAAATGAATTAAAATATAGCACAATTATGAAAATCAAAATATTTCTTAGGCTGTTTGCTTGCTGGAACATCTCAAGTAAGCATGTTCAATCTTCATGTTCTTATAATGTTCATCTCAGCAGCCAGATATTCTACTGACATAGAAAAAACATTGACATCAGCTGTTGTTATGCTGCAAATCACAACCCTTGCATGGAAACTTTCTAAGAGTCTCTTGGCTGGGTCACAGTAAAGAGAAAAAAATTGTGGAATAAGCAACTCGAATCTGTCACTCTAAGCAGCCTACTGAAAAAAAAAACACTCATGATGTCTTGCATGGGGTAACCCCACTTCTCACAGCCAGAATATCTTCCAGCTAAGATTAGAGAATGGAGGGAGAGATGGTTGCAACCTTTGCAACAACTCACCTGGGGGTCTAACAAGTTTCCTGAAGGTATAAATTAGTAGTCGAATACAAAGTTTTCTAACATAGTTTTTGATAGAGCTGGCCAATATATACATAGACCAAGCTTTAGAAATGGCTTGTGAAATAAATAAGAATTCTGAACTACAAATATTTAACCACTTCTTGTGACTGAATTGCTCTTTTATTCAGGTCCATATTGTGGGGTATTTAAAGAGCAGAGCTGTTCTAAATATTTTGTGAATGAATATAACATTTTCTTATCACACCTCTTTTTCTTTCTAGAGGGCCAAAATCATACTGCAAAAAAATTTGGTCTAACAGTAAAAGATGCTGCAGTAAGACCTTACTGAAGACAAACAGCCAGACCTTCACTTTTCTTTCTCAACAGAGGTTGTTCTACAATACATGAGCTGCTGGACTCATTATAAAAGCAAAGGAAGAAAAGCTCCAACGAGATAAAGCACTGATATCCAGGGTTCAACCTACGCAACTGGATTGGAAACCATGGTTACCCTATGGGGTTAGAGAGAGGACAAACCAAAAATCAGTAAATCTCCCTGCAGTAGCTTTAGGAATTCAGGTAAAGTCTAACTCCCCCTGCCTTTGTTAAACCCTTCTTTCTTCCTTTTATAAATCTTTTCCTCCTAAAATAGAAAACAAATTAATAACTTAGACCATAATAGTACTGCAATCTTCTAAGATTCGAACCAGTCTTTTTTGTGACCATATCTTACTTTATACAATCAGAGTTCCAGCTTTAAACTGATGTATAAATAAGGGTTGAGTGTAGGGAGTAAATGTCAAAAGATATTAGAAAAAAAAAAAGACTAAACAAATAGATAAGAGCACAAGGCATATATCTATACAAGGGTTGCCTAGATAAGCAGGACAACAGTTCTTTGGGAAGAGTGAACATCCAAATGAAAAAGAAAGAAGAACAAAAAGAGTAAGAGAAGACATTGAAGGGAGTGAAAGTAAGTATACGTGGTTCTTGCTTTTCTTACCTCTAAGAAGCAGGTGCCAGCTGGGGTATTCTCCTTGATGGAGGCATTGTAGAAACTCTTGGCAAACACTGGCGCATTATCATTGACATCCTGAAGCACAATATCTACCTTCACTGTAGCAGACAGAGGCGGCCGACCACCGTCCATTGCAACAACAGTTACACTGGGCGCTGGCTCTGATTCAAAGTCAAGAGCTGTTGCAGTGGTGATTATCCCCGTAACTGGATCAATTGAAAACCAATCAGAGCGAGAATTTTCAGCCTTTAGCAGGCTGTACCGCACATCCCCATTTTGGCCTTGGTCCTTGTCCCTGGCTGTAACCTGAAGAACAAACGTTCCTGGGTAGACGACCTCAGGAATGGTTTGTCTGTAGGTCTGCTGGTCAAATTGTGGAGGGTTGTCATTGACATCTGTCACCTGGATCGTGAAAGAGGATTCAGCTCTGAGGGGAGGTGTGCCTGAGTCTGTGGCCATCACCCTGAGATGGTAGAAATCCCGCTCTTCTCTGTCCAAAACCTGGTCCACGTATATCAGGTAAATTATGCTGTCTTTGGTTGTTAGCGCAAATTTCCCATCACCCCCCTCTAGGGATACGTTCACATTAGCATACTCCCCGTAGTCTGGGTCAGTAACAGATATCCGAGCAACATACTGGCCTGGTTGGGCCCCTTCTGAGATTCTCGGTGAGCCGTCCTCACTGAGGAAGATGATGGTCATGGTTGGCTGGTTGTCATTGAAGTCACGGACATGAATTGTCACAAATGTATTAGTGACCTGAGAAGAAGTGATAACAGTATTAACATTTTTCTATAGGCTATATATATATTTCTTGTTATAATAGAACCATGAAATATTTGCTGCAATACATTGCTAATCTCTGGTTCTCCATGATTGATGACTAACAACTGTCCAACAAATTGGCAACTGTCCAAGAAATATTTAACATACCATTTTTTAGGATTTACATTTATAAAAACAAAAAGCGACATTATTTCGAAAGTCACAAGCAGTCATGAGGACTTTTCACCTACTTAAATACCACTAAATATAAAATGTGCTCATTGTTAAATGCCATAAATAGCAGTAATTACCTCAGGTTGGCTAGCATTATCTTTGGCCTGGACCACCAGTTCATGGACTCTCTTTACCTCAAAGTCCAGAGGTCTATTGAGAGTGATGACACCTGACTTTAGATCAATGACAAAGTAACGCTCAGAATCACTCTGACGGCGGTTGATTTCATAAAGGACCAGACCATTGTCGCCTTCATCTTCATCAATTGCAAACACCTGTGAAAACAAAAAGTTTCAACATTTAAAAACGCTTGTTAGTCTCTTTAAACCCAAGCCAAGATAATCAAAAGGCTTGACCTAACCTGTAAAATGCTACTTCCTTGAGGGAGGCTTTCGGAAATGATAGCATGGTATCTGCTCTGATTAAAGACTGGTGCATGGTCATTGATGTCTGTTACTGTCACTTCTAGAGTCATAGATCCTATCCTTCTTGGTGAGCCTCCATCAAATGCCTCTATCACCAGGGTGTATGACGAGCGCTTCTCTCTGTCCAGTAGTCCGTTGACCACCAAGTCTAAATAAAGTAACTTGTTAGCACCCTTCCTTGTCTCAAGCTTAAATGTCTGTCCAACGTTGCCCTCTCGAATGGTATAGCCTTGGGTAGTCAGCTGGTCCTTGTCAGCATCAGTGGCAGGATCCAGGGAAAACCTTGTTCCCACAGCGGTGTGCTCTGGGATCTTCAGAACAGCTTTTGCTTTGGGAAACACAGGTGCATGATCATTTATGTCATTAACGGTGATCGACACCTGAATAGTGGTGCCAGTCATTGTCACTGCAATGAAGCTATAGTGGTCCCTTTCCTCCCGGTCCAGGCGGCGTGCTGTGGTAATGATGCCAGTGGTCTCATCAATGTTAAGGTCACTTCCAACGCCTGTGCCCTCGTGGTCAGAAATGAAGTAAAGGGTAGCTGTTTCACCAGGTGGTAGTCCTGCACTGATGTCACCAACAATAGTCCCTGCTGGCTGACCTTCATCCAGCTGGAGTTCTAGAACTCCCAAAACAAAGGTTGACTGAACTAAGACAGTGAAAACATAAAAGAGGAGTTTCTGTTGGCAGGTGTTTGAAAGGAGAGAGTATCTGCCAATCCAAGCCCTTCGTCTAGCTCCTTTACTTGTTATAGGCATGGCTGAATTCGTTAAACCTAAAAGAAAGAAAAGAGAAAAGGTTATATGAGATGAGATATGTAAGAGCATCTTTAAAATCAATGTTTATGAAGTGAGTTTATTGTTATCCCATTTGAAAACATCTTAAATATTTGCTGAGCTCCTTCAGCACAGAAGAGACTTTCCATATTTCAAAGTCAAGCATGAATCCTCTAAATCTTTGAATGACAGCGTGCTAACACTTCTACAGTCCGAAACCAATATTAAAGATGTTGCCTGATAAGGTTTAGCTCTATTCCCCATGGAAATAACATATCTAATGTTTGAAAATAACTCTTCAACAGGATTACTATGGTTTTAAAAAAGCATGAAAATAGAACCCCACTCCATCCAGGATTCACACAGGCTTTAACCACATAGAAAACAAAGTCATAAATTATATTTATCTGGAGGGTAGCCTTTTTTCTTGCTGGGTGAGAACAGAGTAAAGCATCTACAACAACAGAGGGTTACATCCAGAGATATATATAAGGATAACATGAGGTTTTCCAAGACACTATTCAAAACATGAGGAATGTTAGCTGTAGCAGCTTTAGTAATTTAGTAAAATTTAGTAAAAGTATACAGTTAAGATATTGGAATAACCATTTATGCATTGCATTTATATTAACCATTCTCTCAAACATGAGTGCACACTGAAATCTAAAATCCTCCCTGTCTAAATGCCAAATCTATCCCATTATTCAAAGTCTTCTATAAGACACCTCATGGAAAAATGTGCTTATGGTTTTTGAGGGGTGCCAGAAACTTGACAATGTTTGGTGCGCTGACAGAAAGTTCATTACAATGCTTCAAAAAGGCTTTCTAAAACTCACCTGACACTCTGCTTCACAGCAGCAAATTAAAGCCACCATCTGGAACTTCCAGAAAGTTAAAACAAACAGCAATAATTATTTGCAAATGGCAGCTGACCCAGCTTTGACACACATGCGGTGCTTTCGCACACTATCATAAAATTAAGAAGAAATACTCTCATGAGTGCTATGGAAAGTCTTCACAAGTTTAAAGCTGCTTTCATTAGATGGATGCATAGCTTTACCTCTTGATGAGGTCTACAAATATTTAGATTGCTTTCTAAATGATGTTTACATATGCTGTGCCCGTATTTATAGACCTAAGATTTATCAAGCACGAAACTACTCAAAACATCCTGCGACAAGTAGATCCATCAGACTGTCAAATAAAACCTTCATAAAAGCTTATTGGCTACAGAAACATGCAGCATTTAACATATCCTACATTTATCTTAACATCAATACTTTATGTTAAGTGAAAGAGTCCTTTTTTGAATAGTGAATATTCAACAAAAAAATCTGAATGGTTCACAAGTAGCAGACTAAAATGAGAGCTATAAGTGGTAGGTGTTGGCCTACATTGGCCAGCCATATTCACCCTAGATAATCACTCCCAAAGCATGTGTATAAACTGGACAGTTAACTGTAGGAACGTTTTACAGCCTTAAAGAAAAAGTCAGGCTGGTACCTAAAAAATGAAAAATTGTCCTTTGGAGTTTTTGAGTAAAACATGTTTTATATGGCTATGCAAAAATGGCAATATAAAAACAATTAGATAAAAGCACCAGGTAAGTTGTGGAAGAACATCTGGTAAGTGACATGGAAGTACGTAGAAGGTGAAAGAAAAGCTTAAGAAAAATTCAGAGACAGTACCAGACAATTAATGAAAGGATACTGGTAGGTTTCAGGAATATACCCAATATGTTTCAGGCAAGTGTCTAGGACATTATAGGGGAAAAGCCATCAAGTCCCAGAAAAATACATCCACATTTTGTGTAATCTCAAAGCCAAGGACCTGCCATGAAGTGAAATGAATGCAGAGTTAGAGTAGTTTCAAATTGCTGAACTTTATTCCGAACTTTCTATCCATTTTCTGTTCCAGATGCTATTTCAATAGTAGCTTCATCTCACATAGAACTCACTGACTGTTCATTCTTTTTACGAGATACCAACAAAATAAATCTTCTGGACACTGACATGCCAGCTGCAGGTCTTGTGACCGATAGTTCTGTCATCAGCAAATAAAAATGTGATTTGCAATTGGAGAGTTGCATAATATATAATAATTTAGCCTAATAAAATGGACAATTGCTTCTGAGTACTAACAAATACAGTCAATTAGTAAAATCTAGGCTTGAATAACAGCTGACTGATTGTACAAGACTTCTACTTCAAGTCTGGAGCACACTTTAATTGTGTTCGTACCTGAGAGAAGATTAAAAACAGGACAAAAATGGTGTATGTGACACTTTCTCCTAAACCACTCGTACAAAGGATTTTACAATCATTTTGGTCGTACAAAGGCTTTTAGGACGAGGCCCATTGTTTCCATTTTTTTTTCGAAGCTTTTATTGTCATTACACTGTCACAAGTATAGAACAACAAAATTAACTTTTTCCATTTTTAACCCATCCCCTTGGGCAGCAGTGGGCTGCCATTGTGCAGTGCCCAGGGAGCAGTGTGGGGTTAAGAGTCTTCCTGAGGGACCCACATTGGCAGACTGTGGGACTTACATGTAGATCCTGAGGATTCCAAGTTCCATACCGTAATCACCAGGCCACCGCTATCCCACAATTTTTGGGACACTGAGGCAGAGGTGAAAAATTTGGCACAGTGCCACACAAATTGTGACATCATTTGACCTTATGCATAGTAGGAGGCTCCTTATATGCATTGCCACCAATGTGACATGAAAAAAAATCGCATTAGCGCTTGCAGAGTTGTACTCATGTACGGTAGTATGACCTGGCCAGAGATTGCACTTAACATAGTGATGCAAACTGGTGCTTTGTTCAAATCGATAAGAACATTTTAGCCATGGTGGAAGTGCGTTTGTAGTAACCAGACTAAGTGCTGGCAGTTAGATGGAGCTAGAACCGTAAAGTAATATGCTTCCTAGTGACAATGCATGGGGACTTCTTGAGGACCTTAGCCGCTAGAAAGAACTATTAAATTATCATGTCTTCATGTCTCATGTCTACCTTATTAAAAATGTTCACCTCCAGTCAAGCACACATACTTCCCATAATTAGGATTTAACCTAAGTCTAACTTTCAAAAGGCAAAGCCTAAAGGTGTGATGTACCATGTCTTAGATGCTATGAAACATTCCTAGCTAAAAGCCTGATGACAAAACCTTATAAATGGAATCAGCAACAAAATGAACAATATATCTTGGGATTTAACAGTTTAAATAATTTGGGTCACAGAAGTGTCAAAATGAAGAATATCTTCTGTTTGATGAGCAAAATATATCTCACTACTTCACTATAAAAGAATAGTTGTGACTGAGCCTACAATAATCTGAAAATATTGCTTTCCATAGAAAAACAGAAACAAATATAGAAAACATAATGTTATATCTTATAAATAGGACTACTATATTCTGTTTTACCAGTCTTCCTTCTGAGCTCCAGCAGTAGTTCATGTGGTCTCTGAGGAGGAAAGATTAATAAAAGCTATAGCTCCACTGGGACCTAGAGGGGGATACTGATATTGCACCCCCCTCTGATGGAGTCACTGACCCCTACATCTGGTCCAGACGGCTGCACTGGACAGTTGCTGCACTCCTACACAGGAACGGCGAGCGGAGCCTAGAATATGCACATGTCATCTAATGCCTCCACACGCTTGCTAACTCTATGTGCATTAAAGTACTTGTGGAGGCATTTACGTGTGTAGGGATGTGTGTGTCTCAAACAAGAGTGGGAGGGAAAAAAAGAAAGGGTAGCTGAATGAGGATCTGTGAGAGACACAATTAGGGGTGTGTTGATGAAGTCTTTCAAGTTTGCCGCCGAGAGGGGAAACTCCGAGTCAGAGCTCAGGCCTTATGAGACCCCGCTCTGATGAAATTAACCTACAGTCCTGAAAGCTCTAGCATCCACTGAGTGGGAGGGAAAAGGTAAAGAAAAGAACAAAGAAAAGAAGTGGAAAAACTGTATAAAGGACAAAACAGAAAAAGGAGTGATTACAGTTTTCTTTGGCCTGACAGCCTTATTGTCTTTAGGGACCACAGAGCTGTGCAAAGCAATCCTTTGGCTAGAAGAAATAAAGCCTGAAAGGGTACTTTTTAAAAAATGTGTTTTTGCACATTTTTTTCTACGTCCTTCGTTTCTCCCTTGTTGCTCCATATGAGTGTCAGTAAAGGGTTATATTTTACAAACATATCACATGGCTGCAATTTGTCACTGTCAATGAGTAGTCGGCCCATGACATCATCTCCCCTTTGACATGTGCTGTAATACACTAGTGTTTACTCTGGAAAACACCATCAGATGAGAAACAGAGAGAACAAAGGAGCAAAGCTCACAGTGGCTTAAACAGCAGAGTTAAGGTTTAGCACTTGATTTACCCCCCCTAGTGGTATTCTTACATCTTTTTATGACCAACAAAAGTTTATATCAGCTGTTTTAAGATTTAAATAATGCCTAAGTTAAAGCTTCAATTTGTATTGCATTTGCATTTTGTGTAGCTATGATGTTTGCATTCAAATGTATATGCGACCCCCCCTCAATAGTTCCAACGTCTGAGGGCTCCATGCAGTCTCAGCCACATTTTATCTGGCACTCCTCCTCCATAATCTGCCTTCCCCGCCAAATGCAACCCTCAAAGCCTTAAATACATCCTCCAGTATAAAGTGCTGTTGCTAAATATTAGCAAACCATACTGTTTTCACTATGCAACCATCTAAAAACACTGAATCTCAGTGCCGGGGATCAGCTTCATCTCCCTTTCACCCTAAATGTTCCCTCCACCTCTTTTTTTCTCCGCCCATTCCCTCTAATTGATTTAGCAGATTTTGTTGGGCACGCCACAGCTACCCCACTGCCAAGTTAAACAGGACCCAAAGTCACAAAGATGGCCTCTTCAGGCCAAGTCTTTCTTTGGCCTGTTGCTTTTGCTTTGATAGTACACCAAGTAGTTATATTCAGCTGCTTCCACAATTGCTGAGAGATCTTCTTCTGC